CTCAATATTTTGACTTAGTATTTCGAAAATAATTACTTTGTGATACTAATTCATTAATTTGAGATACTATAAGTCAATATTTTGAGAAGGTTTTTCATTAATTTGAGAAGGTTTTTCATTAATTTGAGAAGGTTTTTCATTATGTTGAGAAAGTTTTCCATTAGTTTGAGATACTAAGTCAATATTTTGAGACATTAAGTCTTTACTTTGAGAAACTGGGGTTGTCCAGGTATTTTTTCAGGGATGGCAGCTGCCCTAACCCTCTAGATCCGTCCCTGTTTCGAGGTCATTGCTCCTCAATCCCCCCAGGAATTTAGTAACTATCATTTTAAAGCATTCACAGATCAAACACCAGGTCACTATTAAGTAAGCACTGATTGTGAAACTCTAAGCTGATAACGATCCTTAAAACAACAATTTGGCCCTTTGTTGTTTTTCCCTCACCCTTGTGTGCTGGGGAAACAAAGAAAGCCAAGCATCTCTACCTTACTGCAGTTTGACTTCCTATCTTAGACGTGAGACGCAGAGCTGAACGACCGCTCACCGCCCGTCCTGCTGCTCGGGGCAACCGTCGTAATTTGCATAAAATTTGTGCCAGTGCTGGAAAACAAAGGTTGTTTGTGACTGTGTCTCACACTTCTGCTCACTCCTTCTTTCTCTGAGTGCTCCGTCTCTTTTTAGGATGTGTTTCCTTACGTGTGGTAGACCAACCACGGGATAAGAAATGTTCCTTATAGTGAGTCAACCATGTTTTGAAGCTGGTCTTGCTTTGTCCTTCCTTGACTCTGGACTCTTACTATAGATATCGAACCATTTCTGGTGAATTAACTTTAGCCCTGATTAGTTAAGCACATTTTTAAAGTCATCATTTTTCCGCAGGTGATTTAAATCTGAAGTTTGGAGTGTTTGCTTAATCTGATGTGGTACATACAGTAAGTCCACCATATGAAAATAAAATGAGAGAACGTTAAGATAAGATATGAAAATGTGCTTGTATTAGGTCCAATGTTCTTTAATCTGCCTGGCTGTACGGACCGGCATGGTTCTACAGATACCCTGGTCTGGTTTCTCTGTTTTTAGCAAATTATCTGGGATCTAAATCACCTACTGCGTCAGTGAAATATGTGACAGTATTACAGATTAATCTAGCATAAGCTGCTTTGATTTGATTCACT